ATAGGCATCCATCAAATCCATCATTTTTGATGATGACTGAGAGGTCCTTATCAAAGAATTTTCCTGTCATAATCATGCGTTGGAACATCCGGAAGAATTTCAGGCGAAGTTTGACCACATTTTTTGGCGAATAAAAGCGAGTGAAAAATACCAGTACTTATTGAATACTCATTCAACAAAAAACTTCCATCGAACTCGACACATTTTTCACTCTTTTGCTTTCTTTGAATGCGCTATCAAATTCATTTATGTTTCTCAAAGCATTTACGTCCGTTTTCAACATCATAATTTGAATTCCATCAATTTGGTTTTTTGAACGCCCTACGAATACGATTACCTAGGCGCGATGTTTTCAAATCCTTCGATCTCTCCCCAATGTTTGCTCTCTAAATCGAACAATTCGGAGAAATTAAATTGGTTTCTGAATCGTTGAAATTTCACCTAATCAATAATCGTTTTCGTCAGTAAAAAGCAGGGTTCAAAGTGACAGCGTTATGGACTTGAAATCGTCATGCTTGAAGCAAATGCGCCTTATTTTAAGAGGTTTGCAGTGTGATGCCGACTGTGATCAGTTCAGATGTTCCATGGAAATGTTTATTAGAAAATTCATTTGTAACACTGTGAATATTCAATTAGTTGGTAATGAATTTGGTTATGTGAGCGAAAAGCGATCCCATTCAAGAATGTTGCTGTTCTGTGCGTTGCTTCCCTCTTTATTCAGTGATCAGCTGTTGCCCTCAGCACATCACATCTGGAGCTATTGTTGTTAAAATGTTGTGAAGCGACGAGGAATTGCTAAACGATAAAAAAACAACTGAATGAGATCAAATCAAATAACATTCGCCCAACCGTGCAAGCTAGTTAGGACAATTTGTTGTTGTTGGCATTAACTCGTATCTTTTCTCAGGTGTCGTGGAAACGAGCCGTTAAATTGTGAAATTAAATATCAAAAAACTTCAGAAGATTGATAATTACTTTCATAATTATCAATCATGTGAGGTTATGACGCAAAGGTGAGTGACAACGCATGATTATCACGCAAAGGTGAGTGATCACGCATAGTTATCACGCAGTGCTCATCAACATCATAAAATTGCTACGTCATAAAATTGATCACATCATATGACCAACTGAGTTCATAAAATTGTTCATTAACACATAATTTGAGGCAAAAAGGCGTTATTTTATCTCATCGAACGGATTTATTGCTTTGAATCCGTTGCTAATTCTCAATTAATACAGTTGTCACTTCCAACGTCTGTTCTCTTATTCCTCTCCGCTTTGTCGTTGTTTTACCTACCTGTTCGTCGATCACGTTTTCGTTACGCCCACTTCGGCTTTCTCAGATCCGCCGTTCTTACGGCTCATTCGCCAGCTGAACGCCCAACTTTTATTGACACTGAAAGAGTCTCATCGCATAGTGTTGTTCACCACCCACAATCTTATTCGGTTCTCCAAAAATTTTTTTGCTAATCCCTAATAATCGAGTTTCCAATCTCATTGGTCAATCATCACATTGATAAGAGATTAGATTCGATCAAATTTATTAGTGATTTTCATTCATGCTTTCTGAAACGAATCCATGTTCATTTTTGATCATGTGGCATTTGTGATTGAACCTTATTCGCTAGCTCGATGTGCAATTCTTAAAAATAGCGCCTGGAAGGGAACGGCAACCATGAAGCAACCAATATCTCGAGAAGATGCCTTCCTTAGATTGATATGTTCTCTTTCCAATCAGTCAAATGTCACGTCTGAGAACGTGAAGCAATTTGATGAGTGCTTTGGAATCATAAATTGAATGGTATTTCTTTGGAACGTTGACGAATACAATTTCGGTTTTCATCGCAAAAAAAAACGCTGAATCTTGATTGAGAAGGGAATTGTCTTCGTTTTATTCATATATTACTTGATCAATTTTATAAATTCACTATCTTTTTTCTTAATCATTTTCATGCTTCCTATCATCCATCTCGTCTGTTTCATCGAACCATTCGAAAGTTTACGTTTTTCAGTGAAGTGCTCACTCGCAAGAGTTCTTCGCGCTCTAGAAGAGGCGCTTTTCTGATGCTTCAGCAAAAGTGTTCGACAGCTCCACTTCATACTGATTATAAACAATTACCATGATTCGAACTCATTTCTACGTAAACTGCTTGATTGATTCAGTATAAATATGAGTTCTAATAATGCTGCTTTCTTCCAACTCAAACCGATAAAAGCTTATCTATTCTACCATCTAAATCATCGAAATCTATACGCCTGCTCATGTGAAGTCAATTCTGAACGAAAACATAATTTCTAGTTGGATGACATTTGATGGTCGTTCACTTTACGATACACAGAATAATGATGAAGTTTATTTACTTAACTGAATGTAGTGCATCCTGTCATATGTGTGAACCCTTTGGGACCAGTGTCCGTTCGGATAAAGAAAACGTTCGGATAACGGAACTCATCGGACAGAGTGATTTATGTGGATCTCAAGCACACGTAGCACGTTGTGCAGGCTGCGGAACGACAAGCCGATTCACCTACTGCCCACCAACTGCTTTCCCCATCCAACTACCCAAATGGAAAGCTACTTTTTAAAAAAGTAATTTCCTGCTTTCATTACTTTCACGAGTGTCAGTTTTTTTTNCTGCAAACATAAAGCATCATAGTTCATCGTTCTTCGATTAGTTGCCTGACATTCACTCATCGATGTAGTCTTTCTCGATTCGTTACCTAAGTTTTACTTCCAAACTATCCCACCCTTTCCTCAGTGCAATCAGAGCGGAACCCTATATAGACGGCCTGATTTAGCGTTCCAGTTTAATCCGTCATTTCAGTCTTTGTTCAACTGATGTTAATACCCTCATCGTTATCGTGCCGAGTATAAATTTCTTTCACGCAATACATAATGCAAAAGCTGTTATGGCTACGACCTAAAGCAGCATAATTCATTGTTCTTCGATCTGTTGCCTAACATTCATATTTTGTCGTCTTCATTCATGCTGTCAGATATCGTTGCTTCCGCTCTACCGTACTTATCAACGTCAATGGAATTGAGAATGATATTTGATCAGCCACGGTAATACCGCGACAATTTCTTTGACGAAGCACTTGCAATCACAAATCATGAAAATTCTCTAAAAGAACTTTTCAACGTGATCAAAAACATTTGGTTATCTGACAATAGGGGATTTGCAGTTGGAGAGATGATTACAAACAACCGCTTCTCTGCAAATAATCCATCTTTCGATAAGCTAAATGGTTCTGTGATACTTTTAAGTGATAGTTATTATCTATTCTAAAGACGTTCTCGTTCGTGTGATGTAAACAAATACAACCAAGGAAATAAGCGACTGTTCACACGCAATTCTTAACGTTTTGTTTATAAGGCAGAAGTGAAGCAATAGAATAGATAGAAGTCAATGGAATGGAATAGCAAACAACTAAGTCAGTTCAGTTGTCAGTGAATTCTTGAATGCTTCTTAGTCGAATGCCATATTTACGTGATGCTGTCGCGTAATTATTGTCATTTCATCTCTTTCAGTCAGTCTTGAGATATTCTTTGTTCCGCGTTTAGAATCTATCGCTACGAAATATCTTTGCAAAGCTTCTTCTATCACCACACTAAGCACTTTCAATTGTCCACTCTATTTTTCGAACAGCTTTCACGCTAATCACAGCAATAACCAGCAATTCTCGCTCAAACATGCATCGTAGAAAGCGGCTGCCTGGCCACAAAAAAACGCTTAAGAAGTGCGGTTATGTTCCAGAGCATTGATGGTGATTTATATGCGAAGAAGCAAATTTTAATTTGTGCAGCTGTCATTTAAGCTGAATTCAAATGGTTCAACGCTGAATGGTTGAATGGTTCAAACGCACGTCAATGTCTCATTTTCCATCGTTCGTAACGATCAACAAAACATCTTTCTGCTTTGTCTTTTGGTTGGACATTAACAATGATCAATCACTCAACACAAATTTGCAATTCATCATCCAGTTTGGTCTTCGACAAGTGAAATGCTTACGTATGTTTACTGACAATGAGGTAACAAAGGACGAATCATCAAGATTTAATGCCTGTCAATTCGGACGATTTACAACGATTCTACTCGACATCATTGAGAAGCATGACTTCATTTTGAAACTAAATTAATGAATGCATGAACAACTACCTCATCACTACAAGGAACATGTCGTACGAAGTGAATGTTTGAATTCGGTCATCCAGAGAGGGCAGCGCCCAGTTCGATATAGAGATCTATCTGTTCCATAAGTACAAAAGCATTCTGCATAATTCACTATCAATAGCAAATGAACAATTGATCTGTTGTCAAATTCAAGAGATTGATATTTTGCGACGTTCTGAAGGTTTCGCAGGCATGAAAACGCCACTGAAAAAAGTCCACACATGTCAACCTTCATCAAATAACGTTCATTGAGTTTTCTTGTCCTTCGCTTACGACGACCCGGGAACAGTTGCATAAAAATTCAAGTTAATGACCAGTATCTGCAAGCAGTTCGTACCATTTTCAATAAAGACGGTTGATTTAGTCGGCTGAACAAGCAGTCCAAGCAAACTTTCTGGAATGAGCATAATCAGCCTTGAGATCATTTGCCATTTCCAACCGAAATAATCTAATGTTCAGCACTCGAGACGCAAGAGCTCTTCAAGCGCTTCTGCTAATTTTTTCCTGACAAGATGGGTTCTCCTTACAACGGTGTGCTCATTCAACTTCGCTACATTTCATTTGATATAAAAACATCGTGCGAGTTACTTTTTGATACTGTCTAATGATGTGATGATGATCCTTGATTCAGTGGTAGTGATCTAATGAAAGTCTTTCATTAGTATAATGAGGTTGTTGAATGATCAGTTGATTTCTTACGCTGATACGTGATTACGAGTTCTAAAAGAGGAACTGATAATCTAATTGAATGCTGTTGTGAGTTGCAGAGAAAGATTTTTGCGGAATGAATGAAAGATGAGCGATTGATGAGACTACTCGAAGATGCTGTGCGCCAACGATACGCCGTTGTTCGACTTCTCAAGCAATTCCACGAAACGTTTCATACAATTTTTAGCCACATTTCAACAGTTCGTTTCGTTGTTCTTTTTTTAACTTTGTTTTTTTTTCTCACTGCTACTGTAGACGTGTGAGCGATAGAAATCATTTGTTTTCGTATTTCATAGTGATGAAGTCGAATTTTTTCGACCGATTAGAACTCATTCAGCGAATATTCTTCCATATGTCAATAGGATGGTTCATTTCGTTTACGATTTCAAAGTGCTCACCTTTTCGAACAAATCTATCGAATGAAATTGCTGACAAACACATTGAACGATTCGAGTGAACGATAACGAGTGAATGACGTGTGATAAAAGTGCAGAATTTAGCGTCGAAAACGCTCGATATTGAAAGTGTTTCTGATAAATTATATAAGTTAATACCTATCATCCAGCCTCATTTACGTCTCAAAACGAGCTCGAGTAATACAATCAAATTCGTTTCACCAATAAAACTTCTTTCTGAGAACATATTGAACATATTGCTTCAAATTGCTCATGAGATTACTGCACACATGTGCGAAAACATTCGCCATTCTAATTGTGAAATGAGATGAGAAAAGTGTTTTGAGAAACAATAAACAATCGGAGTAAATAAATTGCATCGTAAATGCTATTACAGCAGATTAGAATAAATTCATCTAGTTCATTGATTCAGCTGATATGTGTAATTCGTTTATTTGAGAACGGCAAAATTTTCAGAGCCTACGCTCCAGTACATGGTTTGATATGTGTGGCGATATGCTCATTTGGGATCATCACCAACTTAGTGCATGTTCTCGTGCTGACACGACCCTCAATGCGTTGTTCGGCTGTCAATTGCGTACTGACGGCTGTCGCTATTTGCGATATGGGCACCATGGCTTCGTATTTTGTTTACATATGGCACTTTGTACTGCATAAAACATCGGCTTGGTGAGTGATGATATTTTAGTTTGCGTCTTGAAGAAGAGGGATAAAGCATCACGAAAATAAATCAGGGGTATCGGTCACCGTGTCTGTCTCGGATGGTATGCTCGTCACATTGCCGTGCCGATAACACCTAAATCATTCATTTTAAGCACTCATAGATGTTATGAACAAATCCACTTCCTGAAGACTACGCACAAATATACAGATGAACGCATTTTGAGTGCACATTTGAAAATAGCAAAAGCAATTATAACAGTACTTATCAATTCCCACTAGGGGCCAGCAACACTATTTATATGTTGATGCCTNTGCCTTACCATTGCCCGAATGAAATGTTCGCGCTATGTTCAGATGTCATTTCTGAATTGCATTAAGGAAGTGGAAGCATGGAGAAAAGTTTTTAGTTGGAAATTCGATTGAGTCTGTTTTGCATTCCAGACATGCATGGATTCGAGCGCGAGGAATGTTTCCACTTCCCTAAAATGCTTTCCGCTCCCCAAAAATACTGACCATGCTTTTTCGACTGATTATTTCAAATGTACATCTGCATTCATATCACCAACATAGATCAAAGCATGTTACTGATCAGTTGTGGTGATCAACGGTAAAATGAAAGCAAGGTAGCCAATTACGGCTGTTCTCTTTTTGAGGATGAGCCAATCGAATTCTACGCACAACGTTTTTATTCTGCTGAATTGTATGAAACGTAGCGTAGAAAAGTCAACTGAAATCAAATTTTCCAAATGCGCATCTGCGAACGCACAAAAATTTCAGAGTGTTTTCGGCCGAAGAACGAATGCGTTATCGTCATGCTAAATTGAATCTATAATTAGTGCCATTTGAATGATTTTTAATTGAATGAATTGCTGAATCCTTTGTTTAATCAATTACTGAATCTTTTAACCAGTTTATGCTTGACGATCCATCCGCTAATATATTGCTAGTGCACACAAATTCACATATTTCTTACGTATTCACCTAAACATCATTCATTATCTGTCATTGTTTGACTAATGCAAACTCCTCAAGTGATTGCAATCCGTTGTTTCGAAATTAGCACCATTCACCTGATTTCTGCACTGAACACCTAACGAAACCACTTTTTTCTGCGTCTTTGTTTCCAACAATTTTTGACAACTCGAAGGCAGTAGACAAGTAAGGAGCAGTGAATGCATGTGACATCTGAATGGAAAGCATGTAAAAAAATTGTCCATCATGCATTTATGATGATTTACTGGATTCTGTTAAGAACTAACAATTCGAGTCGATCAAGTTTTTCCGTTATCGCTCAATTCACTGATTATGTCAAGTTCACAACGTTATTACTTGTGACAGCCTTTCGATAGCCATTTTCAGTCATTTGAACACCAATAAAACTTTATTATACATGTGACATATGAGTGGAGAACATGTTGCTGACCAAAAAATGTGATTTTCGGGCTTTAATTCTACTGCTTTTTCTAGCAAACTGGTCAATGCACTCATGATAACAACAAACAAATTCATAGCATTAATAAACTTGGTCTGTTTAATGAATGATGAAAATTGCAACAACGTTTCAGTTCACCGACATATTCACATTTGTGGATGCAGTTTCTACTGTGGCATGTTGTTCTGAGCATTGCACTTCATACCACTTCGCTGTGGTTAGCTGTTGCAATGGCGTTCATTAGGCGAATGACACTGAAAGTGGCTAGACTTAACAGGTAATCAGAAAACAGTTTATTCGCTTACCGTTTCTTTTCGATGCCTTTCGCTACTTTTGGTGACATCAATGGCGAGCATTTGATTTCCAGGTTTCGTGGCAATTTTTTCTTCGAAATTCTAAAATGGCTCAGCCACTAAAATCAACGATTCGTAATTCAATCAATCGGAATTTTTCGGAAAAACACTTGAATGTGATTGAGTTATTCGATTGAAAACGTTCAGAGTTAAATGAAATTCTGTGCCCATTTGCATTCCAGACAGCCACGAGTATTTGGGTTTCAGAAAAGCTTTCTGTTCTCCTACAATTGAATTTGCAACTGACAATGATCAAAAATCCTCGACAATGACATGCATACTTTAGGTGCTTTCAAGAGTATCCTAGCGCATTTCCTAGCAATCAGTAGCGTAGCAGTCTGGATGTTTTTTCCATCTGGGCAGAAGGCCTAAAATGATCTATCTGGTCGAGAGAAATAGCCGAAATTTTTAGGCGGATGTTTCTTCGCTTATTTTTCCTCGCTCATCCCTTCCAGCCTCTCTTGTCCGCATTGTTTTTTCCCGGATGCACTTCCATTCCCAAGTCTTTTCTCTCCTCCTTACCTTTCCGTTTCGTCCAATCTCCACGGGGAAGACTGGATAACACACTGCCTGCATCACCCTTCCCCCTCCCCGCTCACCTCTTTAGGTACGCCACTGGCGGCACATTAGTGAAAGAATAATATTGCAGTAAATGGCAACGACCGCAATTCGCATGGCGTGTTTGTTCGGGTGTATATGTTACGGTATTTGTTCTGTGCATACCAACACTGCTGGTTCACGACATAGTCGAGTACCCGCAGGCCGAATGGCATCCTCCAGCATCGTGTGAACACTATTATCCTGCTAACTATTCGGCTAAATTATACACACTTCATGTACGCATAACAAATTACTTCTCTTTTGATCCTTATAAAACATAGCTGATGAAATTTGAGGATTATTTGAGCCTTTTTGCCAGGAAAAAAAGAATAATAAATGTAAAATTTCGGAAAGCGAACGCAATTAAGTTCATTGTGCAATTGAATTTGTGTAAGTGTGCGATTATGTGGCCGATGAAAAATGTCGAAGGAAGTATTAAAAGATTCTTGTAAACTCGAAGTGCTGGATATCGATCATCTCGACTCTGATTTCATTCCTAATTTCCTAATTAAAAACTGTTCACATTTCCAGATTCCAGAATCTGCAACCGCAAACGGGTGTCGTTTTTTCAAATTAAATTTGTGGGTGTCTGGAGTAATTTTCAAGGTGATCATTAATCAAAGAAGTTTTTTTTTACGCAGTTGGCTGTAAAATTGCTGCAAAATTCTCATTAGTAGTCGTCTCGACTTGAATGTCTTAAGCGACACATTCAACCATCGATCACTTTTGATTAGCCTTCAAGAAAAAATTGTAATTTACAGATGAATTCTAAAACATCATCATTTCGTATGCATTTTGTTGGCGAATATCTTTAAAACTGCTCATAATTCATAACACCTATGGGATGACTATTAATCTCCCAATTGCTTACATTTATCTTTCTATCGAGAGTATCGCAAACGTTTAAATTCTAGGTTATTCCATGTGTTCTTCTACTGTTTCTATCGATTGGTCTAATGATGAAATTAC